TCGTGCATCAGTACACCGAAGAAATACATACATATTGTTGCGGACGACTATTGTAGACTGTGTTCGTGTAGTCTTCGAGTTTGTGGACAGTTAAAGTCGTGTGTGAATTTATTCAAGCCAGGAAAAGCAGGAGGGATAACTTATGGAAATCGTCTTTCCAATTTGATCCAGTGCGACGTTGTGAAAGGAGCGACTCTGTCGTCTCATCTATGTCTAGTTTGTAAGAGAAAGATTGATAGCGCAGAAAAATCCGCCAATAATGTAAAACAGTGGCGTGAAATTGTCAGTCATTCTAATATCTCCCAACCTGTGAACGAAAGGGTTAAGCGTGCTGCCTTGAAATCGCCTGCCAAAACTAAAATGGCGCGTGTCACGTGACTTTGTTTACTAAAGATAGCGTGGGCGTTTGATTGACACTCAACTCATTAGTATTCCACCAATCACAGCTACATCTACTTTCTGGATGTGCGCAGTCAAATTGTATAGGAGACAAGCTGGAGTCTCGTGTGGCGATAGCGATAACACCGGGACGAATGGTCTGGGGTACATTAAAGCTGCACCAGTATCTCGCAACATAAGGCTACACGGGCATATACAATTTCAATGCAAACATGATCTCAATATGAACATGTAATGAACCATACAGTTTTAGTTTAGTAATAATTTCGTTGATTCGTGTCTTCATGAACAGTCACAACATTTTCAAGGTTCTTACTGCTATGACAATGTAAAAACGATTATATCCTTGTGTATAGGGTCGTCTCCATGTTTCCCTTTAATGTTAAGACTGAATAACAAGCGTTCTTAAAATTACACAATGCAATGTATATAAAAACCACACAAAAATTGAGAAACGATCCGTATACAATGGTGGATAACCTGTACATTCAATCAGTATGCTTCAAGTGTAAGAATATAGTGCTCCGGGAATACACGGAATTAAGAGCAGCAGAACACATGATATTTTGATACACTCACCTCACACTCTTCGTATGATATTCCGTCGTGTTCAGCCTTTGTTTGTATAACATATGCGCTCACTAAAATAAAAAAATCAATAATAATTTTTGCATTTTATATGATATCCCCCCAAAAAAGAACGTTTGCCTCCACGAAAATATCGAAAGGTCGGAACAGCTGAGAATGTAAACAATAAATAATTCATACACATATTGGTATTGAATTATATTCAAATGCACTCCATTCATTGAACTTCGCCGCATATTTCAACGCGCACACATGTGTAAAGGAGGTGGTTTTCTATAAATTATACTGCACTTGATATATAAACATGCGATGTACGTCACAACATAATTTTAAGTAATTAAATATATTTATACTTTGTGTCTTGACTGCTGCAGGACATATAGAATTACAAGTCACTCCAGTTCCAAAAGCATCATTTGCCGCCGTCTATAATAAGCGAATAAGTAGAAAATATCCATGACACATATACACATGGTTGTAATTGAATGTGATATCGGGGATTCAAGTAAAAAATGTTTTTCCATGCAACTCAGTTTGAACTAGTATTTTTTATACAATAACGCATTTGTCAATATTGATACGAGGGCGTGAGGGCGTGTTATTTACTTCAAGCACTGTATTAGGTTCGAGTGGTGGGTCTGTTATCTTAGCTGTCTTTACTCAGTTATTACATTCTGCATGACAACTGCCAAAAACCTCCAGTGTATTCACACGATTCATATATTAGTACAAGCAGGTTTTTACTTACTTTAGTCAATCCTTCAAGACCGCCTTTAGATACAGAATATGCAGCATGGTTCGGATGACCCTTACTGAAAATAGACGAAATGTTGATGATCCGTCCCCATCCTAAAAAAATAAGATTAATAATTTGTCAGCAAGACATTAATGTGGCACTTTATTTCAATAAGAGTATCGAACCCAATAACCGTATTACATTAATAAATATCAATATTTGAACGATTGCACGACAACGAGTACATTTTCAAACAAAACAATAAAGAGGTCAAATTGTTGTTAATGATTATATATATTGACCGGCAAATGCGCGATTATAATTGGCTGTCACGGTCATAATGTATAACATGAGGTAATTACAAGAATACCACAAAGTATATACAGATACAGTACGATAGGAGGGTCGAGTGTGTATGAATGCATACTTTGCGTCATTCTCGTGAATCTTCCCTACACAACAGCTTGGTGCCAGATTTTAGCAACTGTAATTTATGGCTGTAAAAGGACAGATGTATAATATGCTGTATTAAATATACAGATGAAACCCACCTTTCGTTTTCATTGCTCCAATCGTTAATCTTATTAAGTCAAAGGGTGCTGTGAGATTAACTTGAATTATTTCATCCCATTTTTCTGGAGGGTGACTTTTGAGTGGTCCAGCATACATAGAAGCTTAATACATATTAAGAAAGACGTGGCAGTAATTTCATGTTGTATTTTCCTAATTTCATTCATGTTGAATGTTGTACGAACTTTTTAAGGAAACTTTCATACTATCTACATTTCAGTTAATATTGTATTACATTCAGCATGCAGTACTGAATAATTTTGCTTTTCTTTGAAGGGGTGTGCTATTCATATGATAACGTATACACACAAAATACAAAAGCTTTGTGTCGCTTTATTTGGAGAATCGGAAACCGTGATGGTATACAGCTAAAAAAATAATACAGCTAATAATATTTACTCACCTGCATTGTTGACCAGTACGTCTATGCCACTGGGATATATGACTTGTATTTGCTTACAGAGATTTTCAATTTCAGATCGTTGACGTAAATCAGCTTTGATGTAATGACTTGTCACGCTGAATTCACTAGAGGGTAGATTATTCAATAAGAAAGACAAACTCTTCAAACTTTACCACATTCAGTTGAATCCTAGTTAATCTTGAAGACCACGTGCCAAGTGTGACCTAGTTATGCCCAGCGTGACCTTTCAGAGACCTAATTGTTCATATATGTCTGGGGCATTTTATGTGTCTGTCCACAAAATTTAATATTAATGCATTACCAGATCTCAAAGCTACCCTGGGAAACTACGTGCCTGGCAATAGTTTCTGAACTCTATACTAGGGTTTCAGACTTGCATGATGACTCGACTTCAGTTCAGTTTAATATTAACGTCTGAGAGTTTCTGCTGCATGTGCCTCATCTACATACCTCTGTATTTTTAGTTTCAAATGTTCAGCGTCGTCCTCATTCATTCTTCCATGCAGAATTATGTCATACCCACTTCGTGCCAATGCTTGAGAAATACCGTAACCAATATTTCCTGTGCTGGAAGACCCAGTTATCAAAGCTACCTTACGAGCAGCCATTACTAGTACGTAGTGTGTATCGAAGTGTCACGTTATCCAAAACAGGTACAAAAGAATTGGTGACGTCACAAATACTCGACCTTCAATCGGGGACATTTACTCGGTATATCCGAATTGATATATACAAATTACAATGAAGATACCTAAAACATTACAAAAAAGGTAGAACAAATCACGTGACAATATAATGATACTAATGGTAATGAATCCTAGCTTAACAGTTGAACAGAACGATCATATAGTCAGTGGGAACATGCAAAGGGTCATGCACGTCATTGCAACATGGCCGTGTTGTTGAAACTAGGTCATGGTGTGACGCCATGTATATATGTGCGTTGACATGGGGCATAGTGTTAGTGGTTAGTGCGAGTAGCACCAATTCGAAATAGTACTAGATCTTGGGGTAAAAAGGCACTTGATCTAGGCGTAAAATCGCACTTGATCAAGTGCTGAAAAGAACAGCGCCAGTGGCATTGTTATCGCGATCCTTTTCATATGCAAACTACACACATACGAAACGAGTACAGACGGAGTAAATTTATATTGTTTTCTAACGAAACCAAACGGCCCTTAGTATTTTTGGGGCAAATAATTTAATTCTGACTGGAAAAGACTAATCAATATATATCCGATATTTACGCATTCCGATGTTTAGCTAGACTAGCTGGCACAGCTGGGACTGCTTTTTAGTTTTGTCAAATGAAAACGGCAACATGCAGCGGCGAAAGAAATCTCGAGTTTGTCAAAGCAGTTTAACAGTTCTCATTTCATCTGCTCCGATGGCTGTGAACGACCAAAATCCTTCAAAGTTGCGTGGCGTTGGCGCCCGTGTTCTTTCTTTCTTCTTAGCCATTGACAAGACCTGTAACTACTCAACACGAGCCAAACAACCCAAAACGTGCCAAACACGAGCCAAACGGACCAAAAACGAGCCAAATGAGTCATGAACGAACCAAAATTAGGCACAAGATCAAAAAGAGTGAGTAACCAGCCATGTTGAAAGGGTACTTTGAACTGACAGTTGGAGGCGCTGTTCTCATCTCGCTAATTAGACGCTGTTCCAGAAGAAGTCAACACAAGTAAATAAATAAAAAAATCATAATGAATATATGTACGTATGCAAATAAATAAATAAAAAAATCATAAAAAACACTAATAAATAATTATACTACATCAGCAAATAATAAATTAGTCCATGGCTGACTTAAAAGACGGCCAAGTGAAATTAATTGTAATGTTTTCTGAAAACTACTTGGGCGTAACTTCAATGATTTGATTATCGGTAAGCATTTTAGATTTAGAGTTTAGCCGTGATTTTAATAGCTTTACCTGTATTAGTGACATTGGGTTTATAAAACGGCTAAAATAAAAAAATCTACTTTCATGCTTAGAAAGAACTACTACAGTCACACTGTTTTTCAACGTGACGGGAGTCAACGCAGCCAGAAATCGTCTTATCATTCACGCATGAATGATATGTCACAACAAGCAACGCTCCTAACATAGCTCATTCTTCCATAAACTATGATTTATATCATGAAATCTATGATACCCCGTCACGTGTAAGAGATGTTTTATGTCATTTGTTTAATTCCGATAAACACTAGCTATAACAGTTATGTGAATGAGCATAGTTGGCCCGCTTCAGGCCATATCTAATACCACATAGTTAAAGCATTTACATTGTCCCAAATATATTATATAACTGGACACATATGTCGGTTGACGTTGACTGTATCTGTCCAGTATGTGTAATGCAATGTGGATAAAGTTACGTATATATGTTACCAACAGACACATTTAAGGTGCCTTGCATTAACAATAATGGGTGTGACTGTATTATTTGAGACGTCACACATACCACGGTAGCTATGTCACTGCCCTATTGGAAAGGTTAAAGTTTGTAATTGCTGCATTTCATAGAAAATATCACAGTATTGGTAAAGTGATTTAATTCAAGCACCCACTGAATACGTCGTACAATTTACATTCAGTAAAACGCGATATGGGGTGACAAAATTCAAGATACGGTTACCAATTTACTTTTCCTCCAGACCTTAGGAATCAAAACAGAGTACATCAGATACGAGTTTCCCGTCATGTCACACACCAGTCGCATACTCAAGTAACGTTGCACCTTGTATCTTATTACCCGAATTATTGGTGTTGATACTAAAGGCTACAATCGTCGTGCTATCAATATTTTCTTTACTTTGATCAGCTGTTCGACCTTCTCTCGCAGACTTTGTGACTAGTTCGTCGTAGTTGTGCTGTTTGATCGGAATGATCACTGTAACATTTGACCTATATAATTCACGGCGACGTGGAAATTAATCAATGAAAATTAAATTATTACCTGTTTCAAGAATAGCATTACCATTTGAGATTCGTAGCATGTGGCAGTAAAACTGCTCTATATTTTGTATGTACTAAAACATGTAGTCATGTGACTTATTATGACAGCCATAACACATGATGTCACCGCCAGTTTGAGCCGCATGAAAATAGCTTTCCCTCGCAAACAATCGTTTACCGAGAGCAATACTTGGTGAGAGAGTAACACACATTTTACTTAACTCATATTTTAACAGACACCAGGCGAACTCATAAGCCAACTGCTTCAGATATCGCACGAACTAAAATGTATCTATACAATTTTAATTGAGTACGGAGTCTGCACTCAATGTATCATGTCGCATGGGCTAATGATTGCCGGTCTAATGTAACACATGATCAATCGCGGTCATTTCATAATGATCGAGAATGATCGACATTATTTAAACACCTTTTATCCCTTTGAGTGTCCTGGGTTATATCAATGTAAACCCAGGTACTCTCTGTTCATTGTGACATATAGAAATAGTGTTAAATCCTTATGTTGCATGAACGCATTTAACCAACCACTAGATCGCGTGAAAATGGCGGCCACCATGTATGTGGCAGAAATAATCGACGTAATGATGTTTAACAATCAGGCGCGATGCGCGCAGTGATGTTTATTCTAACGGGGATTTTCCATTAAAACTCGTGAGTAGATTTTGTCAAAAAAATAATTAATAAAACAAATGTTTAAAAAAAAATAACTTACTCCTTTTAAAAAAAACGAAAGACAGTATTACAGCTACACCATCGTGAACAAATCCAGGTCAAAACTAAAGAACAAAGTAATTGCCTTTTTTCCTCCATCATTTCTATTGTTCAACTCCATATTTGTTTTTCTATAATGTCAGCGTCATTCACAGTGATTCAGAAAATCGATTTTTTTCCACACCACGTCATATCAATCATTCGTTATTGTGATCAATCTTTATTTACTTCAAAATCGAACTCGCAAATAAAATGTTCATTATTAAACTAACCGTCATAGCCATAAACTGTTGCATGACAATAGTTTTGCTCAAATTTCGTTGCCTAAAATTTTACCTTTCCAGCAAAATTTAATTGGTCGCCCTTATCCCAAGGTACAACGCACTTTTACAATGCATGATACTTTCTTTTGTGAAAATGCGTTGTAGTATCCCTCCATTTCTAAGGTACAGACCGAACGATACCGAGCAACATAGTAAGCGCCTTTAAATTTTAATGTAATTTTACATTTTTTTTATTCTTACCTGTTTTTTGATGCTTTTCGTTTGTTTTTCCATTTCCAGCACTGCTTGGAATTAGTAGGTTCAGACTTTATTTATATATTAACTTAATTATTGCGATGCCTTATTTAATTAGTTAATTTACTGGTAATTATCTAATAAAATCTAGTATAGTGTTTATTTTGTTAAGATTTCTTTATTCCTTAAAATTATTATGTATTAGTTTGTTTATTGTGTTTTAATGTGCCAAAAATCATTATTTCAATGCACGCTGAGGCACAATTCAATAAAGTCTCACAATATCTCACGATATATTGTGAGATCTTGAGTCGACCATAATGCATTTTACGTAAACATGATGTGGTAGCATTGATACACCGAAGTTCAGAAATGATGACATTCTGCAACTAAGCAACCAATGCCTGAAGTCATCTGGAACTTGATTTAAAAGGCTGCAGCTATTTAATGGGCAGTTTGATTGAAGTAATTTTAATTGAAATCACAATTACCGACATGGGGTGGCTCTGTTGATGAACATGTGCTTTCCAGCTTAGCAATGAATATAAACACTGTAATAGCTGTATGCCCATGTTTTTTTAGTTTGCAGTATAACGCCCTCTATCGACAACTGTTGATATCCTTAGGGTCATTTTAGGTCTCGTGCTACTAATCAACCAATCATAGTTCGTAGCCGTTTAAATTTCTTGCAAAAACCAATGACATTTATTTATTTCTCTAGGTGCAACCCAAATACAGTAGGTGTGTTTTGTTTACCCGAGTTTTTTCATAGTTTACAGAGGTTGGGAGCCATCTGACTTCATATTGAGTCTATAACCATAACTATGAGCTCAACAACACAAGTCCATTCAACGTTATAACATTAAAAATCATACCTCATAAATCATCATAACAGCAATATTTGCATACTGGGGTATTTAAACTCTGATTGAACAAAAACCGTTCCAGTTATAAAATACATCTTACATTTTATGGAAAGCGCATTAATATTATTCTAAAAATACATCAAGAAATAGACAACTATATATGGCTACATAGTGCCAGTGTATCATGTATTGGCACTTTGAAACCAATAATTTGTAGAGGTCGTCATGAAGGATAAGGGTGACTATCTTGATGTTAGCCCGAAATAGAAAATTTCATTTTGCAAACGGAAACTTAGACTGTATTGTATCACGGAACAACACTTGGAAACCTGTTCGATGTGAACGCCCTCGTGGGAAAGAAAGTCGAAAATCTTGAGACCGACCCTCAAAACGAGAAATATAATGCTGCCAATAAAATCTTGGACTACATATTTGCTTTTCAAAGAATCGCCCAAAACATTCACGATTATGAGATAGAGTACAAAAATGCAAATATTACATATAAATCAATATTCAATATTACATATAG